AATTGTACAAATAACTGAAATTATCTTTTTATGCGAATAATTAATCATAATACTTGTTACTCAATAATAGGGATAAAAGGGCGTAGTGCATTGTTTGATTTACAGGCTATACATTTTCCAGATTCATTTCCTATAGATATAATGCATTTAATCTATGAAAATATTGCGGGATATATGTTTCAACTTTGGACAGGAAAATTTTTTCAAAAGGATGATCTAAATAATGGTGATTATATACTTAGTCGAGCTCAATGGATTGCAATAAGAAATGAAATGGATTATAATCAAAAATCAATTTCAGCTTATCTTAGAAGGTCGCTTCATAATATAGTTCTTTATCATAAAGGATATAAAGCCGAGGAATGGGTTGCTTGGATAACTATGTATTCTTTATCCTTATTAAAAGAACAAATGCCAGAGAGACATTATCAAGGATGGGCTTATTTTGTCAATGCTGTACGTTTATGTCAAAAGTTAACTTTAACCAATCAAGAATTAGACAATCTTCGATTATTATTTCAATGTTTTTATAATTATTATGAAAAGTAAGTAATTAACTATTAATTTTAACAAATGTATATATATATATTTATTTAATGTTTATTTCATTTAATAGGGAATATTATCGTGATTTAAAAGAATGAATAAGTACAATGAAATCATGCTTCCATTATATTCTACATATTGCTGATGGTATTAAAAAGACAGGTTCATATTGGTCTATATGGCAATTTCCAATGGAGCGTATTTGTGAAATGCTTCTTCCATTAGCACGATCGTGACTTTATCCTTACAAGAATATAATTAATAATGTTCATAATTGGGAACTACTTAACCACTTACGATATTATCAAACGATTTACACTAATATTTTTCCATCACAACCACTTAAACAGTATGCACCACACCTTGTATTTTCTAAATCAGATGCAGATGAAGAGCTTTATTTTCCATCAAAAAGGCACATGCTTAGTCAATCAGAACTAAAAAAGATAAAAGAACACTTTTCAGTTTTATATGATGTCAAACATAAACCACTTAAGGTAAAGTAATTTTGTTTTTATTGATATGTAAGTACAGTAATAACGTAACTGATTGGATTTATAGTCTTTTCCTTTATCAGGAATAAAGTATGGACATTTGCAAACAAAAAATGGTCATTACATTAGTTCTAAATGGGTTAGAAGAAACCATGATTGGACCTGAATTAATTATTCAATTATGGTATGTACTACATATATAATACTGTATATAACGGTATTTTTATACATTGATAATTAATTATAAGTATTTATAGACAACAATGCAAGTAGATAAATGGTTTAATTTTCCAAAAAAATACCTGAGTTTATACTAAAATTATTTTTTGGTAATGTAGAATATTATTTAGTTTACGAATTTGAAAGGAAATGCATACACTAGCATATATTCATTGGACTACTAAGGTTAATGAAGATGATATAGGGCTTTTATCATTTCTAGGATTCGGATCACATGAATTTATTGATGTATACGCCATTAATCGTTGCGTAGCATTTTTTAAAATCAATAGGATTTATTATATAATTGATAAGGAATTTAAAGAAGAACCAGAAAATGATTCTAACTGTAAATTATAAATAATTTATATAATAAATGTATAATTTTTAATTGCGTATATATTTATATATTAAATGTACATTTTAATTTATATAATTTGTACAAATATTGATTATTAATATATCATTTACATTTTTTGTATATATAATAAAGTGAAATGGTTAAATATTATATATTTTATATATATAGTAAAATACAATCATAAAAATTTGTTCATTTTATAGTCAAATAATGGTTTATTTGTATATTTTATAAATATTTTCATTATAATTTCTGTACAATCAGTTTTTATAGGGCTATTTGTTACTAGAATTTTTGTAAGTAATTCTGCCCCATAAGCTTCCCGTTAATTTCGCATTAGATGATTCAGGAATTCTACATGAGAGCATTTACATTCTGAATTCATCTAATTTGTTGTAATAGAATATATTTTATTGCATTCAGGACAGACAACATATGTTTTTGATTTCTTTTTTATATCTAATAACTTCTTTGCCATATAAGCATTTGCAGGAAATTTTTTAAATCATTTTTCATTAGCATCAGACAGTACTATCCTGAAGAATTTGATTAATGAATCGACTGCAATATCCGGAAACCTGAATCTTTCTTGATATTTGAAGATCCATAAAAGAATCTATAAATCATTCATATTTATGTTTATGGATGTATTTTCCGTATCTGATTCTTCTACATATTCAGGTGTTGCAAACGATTCATTATCATTTAACAATAGTTCATCTGAAGAAGATTTCTCATCAACTGATCAAAATTCTTTATCATTACCAGAGGAATCAACTTGTTATTCATATTCTTTATCTGGAATGATAATAGTATTGTCACTAGTTATATGAAACTAATCGTATTTTCTTCGCTTTTTTCTAACATTGTTTGGTTTTGTAGCAAAAATTATTCTATCACTAATGAAGCTATCTTTGTCTGACAAAATATCATCATCGAGGTCTTGTAAAGAATTGACCGAATTTGATAAAGAATCCTCATCTAATGAAATATTGTCATTAAGTTCTTATGAAGAACTGGCCAAATTAGGTAAAGAATATTTGTTTAACAAAACATCGCCATCGAGGTCTTGTGAAAAACCGGCCAAATTAGATTGTATAACATCATCATTGTGATCTGAATTTTGCGAATTAATCCTAATGGATTTTGATTATATTTTTGATCTAAAGGTTTCCGTTTCTTTTTTTTTCCTTTTAGAAATAGAAGCTTTAAGCTAATTATATTTTATTTCGTGGGTTTTTCTGGTTAGAGTATCAACCAAACAACCATTATATTTCATGCAGTTACATTGCACTTTCGGTCGAACTTTTGTATGTCTTGTAACTATTGCTAATTTGTTATTCGATTTTTATTTGATCATTTTTTTAAAAAAAAACAAGAATTGGGCAAAAAAATTTAACTATTAATAAAATTAAATATATATGCAGATTTTATTCAACATTTATACTAAAAGCATGTGAAAAAGTATAATTTGATAAAAGTTTAATCAAATAGAACAATACCATTGATAATAATCAAAGTTTATTGATCAACTAAATCAACTTAATGATGAAAGTAAATTAAACTATTTAAATCATTTTTCCTTTTATTTTTTTTAGAAAAAAATACTTTCTTTCCGCTTCATTTATTTTTGATTTTTTTACTTTACATGAAATATGACGTCAAAACCTTAAACTTTGTGCCATATTAGTCATAGTCAGAATAGGAGCAGATATCGAGATAAAAGCAGAGGAAGAGGAAAAAGTTTAACAAGTCGAAAAGATAATAATAAAAGCTGATCTAGAAGAAGAAGTCAGAGAAACAGGAGGAAAAAGAGCCGATATTATTCACCTGACAGAAGAAGACATAGAAAGTAAAGACAGTAAGTAATATTAAATAATAAGTAACATAATACATTCAATTTTCAATGGTTATTAATACATTTCATTACTCGACAAAGTTTTCGTCTTACAATAATCCAGATTCTTCAAAATCAGATAGAAGATCTCGTAAAATCATGGTCATGGTCGTGATGGTAGTTTTGATGATCGTGATGATGATCGTAATAAACAGGATTATGATGAAGAAAGTAAGTTTTATTTTAATATCAATATATACATCAACTATATTATTAAACAATTTACATAAATAGTTAAAACACTTCTGAAAGATAAGAACATCCAGGAAATACTACAACATATGTTACAAAGTAAAAAATTAACATATCAAGATCAATCAAGTAATAATAATAGAGATGATAATAATGACAGTAATGATAAAAAATCACCATCACGATCAACTATTTTCGATGATTCACAATCACAATCGGTTATTTCTGATGATGAAACCAAATCTATTTTGAGTTCAGAAAGTTTTTCCAGTATTGATCAACCTAAATATTTTCAGATGTCAGATTTGTCAAAAGATCATTGAAATGCCTTAAGGGTAAGAATTTTTATTCATTTTCACTTTAATATATATATATATTAATTATGGATATATCTTTATCTTTATTTACAGCGACAAGTATTTTGGATAATTAATAGAATGC